ACGTTTACTTGTGAATTTATATGCATGCTGTTGTGAAAGGAATTGAAACCTCTTTATACGCAGCGCCCTTGTGTGAAACTAATGACATGGATTAAGCGAATTAAATGAACTGAATGCGATTTCAATTTAGTTCCTTTAATTAGTTCTGGTAGGTCTCCGGATTCCAGACACAGTTTTCCATTTAATTCATTTAATTCCTGCGGGTCCCCGAATTCCAGAAACAGTTTTGAATCTATACTAATTAAAGTAATTAAATGAATTAGAAAGGTTTCCCATTTAGTTCATCTGATTCATTTAATTCCTAGGGTCCCCTTATTCCAAAAACAGTTTTCCATTTAATTCATGTAATTCATTGCGTTAATTAAAATTCTTTAAATGAGTTAAACATGTCTTTCAGTTTATTCCTTAAGTTCATTTTATTCATTCAACTAATTGAATGAATTAAATGAATTACATGAATTAAATGAATTTAAAAGTTTTTCCATTTAATTCATTTAATTCATTTAATTCATTTAATTCATTTAATTCATTTAATTCATTTAATTCATTTAATTCCTGGGGTCCCCAGATTCCAGAAACAGTTTTCCATTTAATTTATTGAATTCATTTAATTCATTTAATTCATTGAACTAATGGACTGAATTTAATGAATTAAATGAATTAAATAGATTTTCCATTTAATTAATTTAATTCATTAAATTAATGAAATGAATTAAATGAATTAAATAGATTTTCCATCTAATGCATTTAATTCATTTAATTCCTGGGGTCACCAGATTCCAGAAACAGTGTTCCATTTAATTTATTTAATTCATTTAATTCATTTAATACATTATACTAATTAAATGAATTAAATGAATTAAATAGATTTTCCATTTAATTCATTTGATTCATGAATTAATTAAATGAACTAAATAGATTTTCCATTTAATTCATTTAATTCATTTAATACCTGGGGCCACCAGATTCCAGAAACAGTTTTCCATTTAATTTATTTAATTCATTTAATTCATTTAATTCATTAAACTAATTAAATGAATTAAATGAATTAAATAGAGTTTCCATTTAATTCATTTAATTCATTAAATTGATTAAATGAATTAAATAGGTTTTCCATTTAATTCATTTAATTCATTAATCTCGTTCAATGAATTAAATGAATTAAATAGATTTTCCATTTAATTCGTTTAATTCATTAAATTAATTAAATGAATTAAATAGATTTTCCATTTGATTCATTTAATTCATTTAATTGCTGGGGTCCCCAGATTCCAGAAACAGTTTTCCATTTAATTTATTTAATTCATTTAATTTATTTAATCCATTAAATTTAATAAATGAATTAAATGAATTAAATGATTTAAATAGTTTTTCCATTTAATTCATTAAATTAATTGAATGAATTAAATGAATTAAATGAATTAAATAGATTTTCCATTTAATTCATTTAATTCATTTAATTCCTGGGGTCCCCAGATTCCAGAAACAGTTTTCCATTTAATTTTTTTAATTCATTTAATTCATTTAATTCATTAAACTAATTAAATGAATTAAATGAATTTAATGAATTAAATGAATTAAATAGATTTTCCATTTAATTCATTTAATTCATTTAATTCATTTAATTCATTTAATTCCTGGGGTCCCCAGATTCCAGAAACAGTTTTCCATTTAATTTATTTAATTCATGTAATTCATTTAATTCATTAAACTAATTAAATGAATTAAATGAATTAAATGAATTACATGAATTAAATATGTTTTCCATTTAATTCATTTAATTCATGAAACTAATTGAATGAATTAAATGAATTAAATGAATTAAATAGATTTTCCATCTAATTCATTTAATTCATTTAATTCCTGGGGCCCCCAGATTCCAGAAACAGTTTTCCATTTAATTTATTGAATTCATTCAATTCATTAAACTAATTAAATGAATTAAATGAACTAAATAGATTTTCCATTTAATTCATTTAATTCATTTAATTCCTGGGGTCCCCAGATTCCAGAAACAGTTTTCCATTTAATTTATTTAATTCATTTAATTCATTTAATTCATTAAACTAATTGAATGAATTAAATGAATTAAATAGGTTTTCCATTTAATTCATTTAATTCATGAAGCTAATTAAATTAATTAAATGAATTAAATGAATTAAATAGATTTTCCATTTAATTCATTTAATTCATTAAATTAATTGAATGAATTAAATGAATTAAATGAATTAAATAGATTTTCCATTTAATGCATTTAATTCATTTAATTCCTGGGGTCCCCAGATTCCAGAAACAGTTTTCCATTTAATTTATTTAATTCATTTAATTCATTTCATTTGTTTAATGAATTAAATGAATTAAATGGAAAACCTATTTAATTCATTTAATTCATTCAATTAGTTTCATGAATTAAATGAATTAAATGGAAAACATATTTAATTCATGTAATTCATTTAATTCATTTAATTCATTTAATTAGTTTAATGAATTAAATGAATTAAATAAATTAAATGGAAAACGGTTTCTGGAATCTGGGGACCCCAGGAATTAAATGAATTAAATGAATTAAATGCATTAAATGGAAAATCTATTTAATTCATTTAATTCATTTAATTAGTTTAATGAATTAAATGAATTAAATGGAAAACCTATTTAATTCATTTAATTCATTTAATTCATTTAATTAATTTAATGAATTAAATGAATTAAATGGAAAATCTATTTAATTCATTTAATTCATTCAATTCATTTAATTAGTTTAATGAATTAAATGAATTAAAAAAATTAAACGGAAAACTGTTTCTGGAATCTGGGGACCCCAGGAATTAAATGAATTAAATGAATTAAATGGAAAATCTATTTAATTCATTTAATTCATTTAATTAGTTTCATGAATTAAATGAATAAAATGGAAAACCTATTTAATTCATTTAATTCATTTAATTCATTTAATTCATTTAATTAGTTTAATGAATTAAATGAATTAAATAAATTAAATGGAAAACTGTTTCTGGAATCTGGGGACCCCAGGAATTAAATGAATTAAATGAATTAAATGGAAAATCCATTTAATTCATTTAATTCATTTAATTCATTTAATGCATTTAATTAATTTCATGAATTAAATGAATTAAATGGGAAACCTATTTAATTCATTTAATTCATTTAATTCATTTAATTAGTTTAATGAATTAAATGAATTAAATGAATTAAATAAATTAAATGGAAAACTGTTTCTGGAATCTGGGGACCCCAGGAATTAAATGAATTAAATGAATTAAATGGAAAATCTATTTAATTCATTTAATTCATATAATTCATTTAATTAGTTTCATGAATTAAATGGAAAACCTATTTAATTCATTTAATTCATTTAATGAATTAAATGAATTAAATGGAAAATCTATTTAATTCATTTAATTCATTTAATTCATTTAATTAGTTTAATGAATTAAATGAATTAAATGAATTAAATAAATTAAATGGAAAACTGTTTCTGGAATCTGGGGACCCCAGGAATTAAATGAATTAAATGAATTAAATGGAAAATCTATTTAATTCATTTAATTCATTTAATTAATTAAATGAATTAAATGGAACATCTATTTAATTCATTTAATTCATTTAATTAGTTTAATGAATTAAATGAATTAAATAAATTAAATGGAAAACTGTTTCTGGAATCTGGGGACCCCAGGAATTAAATGAATTAAATGGAAAGTATATTTAATTCATTTTATTCATATAATTAGTTTAATGAATTAAATAAATTAAATGGAAAATCCATTTAATTCATTTAATTCATTTAATTCATTTAATTCATTTAATTAGTTCAGTGAATTAAATGAATTAAATGGAAAATCTATTTAATTCATTAAATTCATTTAATCCGTTTAATTAACTAAATGAATTAAATGGAAAATCTATTTAATTCATGTAATTTTATATAAAGCTAACTATTTTCCATTGAATGAAAGCCAGAAAGGGAACAATCACATAGACCCTATTATTCCCTCGTACCCCCCACCCCCCACCCCCCTGTTGACCATAAGAGAACATGTGTAACATGTTAACAACGACAACGAGTTCCGTGGGCCCTGTGTTGTACTCGTCAAGAACGTTATCACACACACCCATGCACCCCCCACCCCCCTGTTGACCATAAGAGAGCATGTGTAACATGTTAACAACGGCACCCCGTGTTATACTCGCCAAGAACCCTATGACACGCCCCCATCCCCCACCCCCCTGTTGACCATAAGAGAGCATGTGTAACATGTTAACAACGACAACGAGTTCCGTGGGCCCTGTGTTATACTCGTCAAGAACGTTGTCACACACACCCAACCCCCCTGTTGGCCATAAGAGAGCATGTGTAACATGTTAACAACGGCACCCCGTGTTATACTCGCCAAGAACCTTATGACACGCCCCCATCCCCCACCCCCTGTTAACACATGCTCTCTTATGGTCAACATGCAGGGGGGGTGGGGGGGTGCATGGGTGTGTGTGATAACATTCTTGACGAGTATAACACAGGGCCCACGGAACTTATTGTCGGTGTTAACATGTTACACATGCTCTCTTATGGTCAACAGGGGTGGGGGGTGTGATAACGTTCTTGGCGAGTAAAAAACACAGGGCCCTAATGCGTCGAAAGGTGAAGAAAAATGGATGGATGAACTGGTGGATGTTGTCATGGGAAACTTGAAAAGGATAAATTCCTTTTTTTAAAACCCTCGAAGAACAAAATTGATTCACCGCGCATGCGAAATGCAAATGTTTGAACTTGAGTCACACGCCTGCCAATCGAAATGAATGTCCATGTTGCAAACATTTTTTGACAAGTCCCACGAATACCAGCATTTTGTCTCTTAGCCTCGAAAATATCAATTTCAAATTTGTCACCCTTACAAGGGCGGTGGGTCAATCGGTTGCCTTGTTTGACCCCCAGAGCTGAGATGGCCTTCAGTACAGTGTGGCCCCATAACCTCGTCCAG